ATAAAATGAAAACTTCAGCCACAGTGTTTATTTGAGCAGGTGATCACATATAAAAGAAGCTGTCAGATTGGAAAGGAAGAGGAGAGTTAGCTGTACTTTCAGTAGTAATATCACACTTTTATAGCATCCTGTCTTTCCACTCAGCGTTTGTGATAGTTTAATCCTTTCACATGAAGAGTTAAAATGTGGTTAAAGTCACTTTTTGTTGTCATTGTTAAATCATTTCAGTTGTGTCTGATACTTTGTGATCTCATTTGGGGTTTTCTTGGCAAATTTACTGGAGTTGCTTGCCATTTCCTTCTCCAGCTCATTTTATAGATGAAGAAACTGAGGCAAATACGCTTAAGTGACTTGCCCACAGTCACATGGCTAGCAAGTGTCAGAGGCTGGATTTGAACTTAGGACATGCGTCTTCCTGACTTCAGGACCAACATTCTATCCACCTTACCACCTAGCTGCCTTGAAGTCACTTAAGTGCCAATAAAAGCCAACTTCTTGTAAGAGTAAAGGGGTTTTGTTTTTTATTGTCAATAGCTGTGAGTTTTAAAGAGCAGGTGTGCACTCTGTTGCTAAAAATAGTACTGTGGTATCTATTACATTTATAAAACTTGAGTCAGAAGGAATTATGATAGTTTCTTGGACGAATAAAGCATTTATTAAATGCTTACTATGTTCAAAGCACTGGGAATTGAAATAGAAAAGTAAGACAAGAAGCTTATGTCAAGGAGCTCCCATTCCAATGGAATGGAGGGTTTTGGCTGCAAGGAGCAGGGGTGGGTAATGCCTCCTCTTAATGTCATTTCCACTCGTTTCTTTTCCAGTTTATTAGGATTTAGTCTAACATAAATGGCAGTGTAGGGGAAAGAACATTGGACTAGGAAGGCATTTGGACTCTGGATGTTAAGTACTGAGCCTTGGGTCCCTTATCTGTCAAGTGACTGGGTTGGACTGGAAAGCCAGTCTTGCCTTTAAAATTCTGTTTCAGTTCAGTTAAGAAAAGGAAATGTTGTAGAGCTGTAAGGATAGCTTCAACCAACATGGTGTAAGCTAGTGTTGTGAGATTCCCCAAGGAATTGCAACCTAAGGTCAGACTTCTACCTGTTGACTCTGTTTTCCAATGTGAGCAGCAACCCAGAAAATGACATGGAAGAGAAACAGTAGGACTCCTGTTCTGAGGTATTGTCTGTGGACTGTTTTGAATGGTAAAAAAAACAAAACAGAACTGGGAATGTAAAACAAATCTGTTGTTGTCCTTCTAGTTTCTTATCACTCAATAAACTCCGGTAGATCCCTGTTGCCTCCAGTATCAAATATCAGATCTGCAGTTTGACTTTTAAAACTCTTCACAACCTGTCTTTCCAGTTCCTTAGTCCTTAATCTTCTTTATTGTTGTTCTTTTAACTTTCTTTATCAATGCCTGGAAGATCCTGGTGTTGGGTGATTTCCTCAAGCTAAGTAATGATACAGCATACCAAAAGAGGCAATAACAATGAATCTCCTGCCTAGATGTGGCCCAGTCACAGTGGAACTGTGTCTGGAGTGCCCTCCCTCCTCGCCTCCATCTCTTAGAGTGCCTGGATTCCTTCGGGATCTTAGTTCCTTCTGCTTGAGACTTTTTTGGGGCTCCTCTCAGACCCCTCTGTTTCTCTGAAAGCGTTTCATCTGTACCTGTATGTGTGGATGAGCTCCAAAAGCCTAGAAACTCCTTGAAGATATTTCGTTTTTTCCTTTGCATTCCTAGCACCTCCGCACAGTACCTGGAATATAGTAGGTACTTAATAATTGCTTATTGCTACATTACACTCTCAAAGAGGCAGACATAGTCTTGATTATTAGGCCGGTTTTCCTTACAGGTAGAGCTCTAACACAGCAGAATGGGCTACGCCAGGAGGTAGTGAGTTCCTTCTCATTGGAGGGTCTTCAGACAAAGACTACTTGTTGTATATGTTGTAGAGGGAATTCTTGCTGAGGTACAGTTAACTATTTTTTACTGAGGTCCCTTCTAACTTTTAGACTCGGTGATTCTATAGTCAGGTATTATAGCCTAGAGAGAGAGGATATTGTTGGGAACCCTCCACCAGGTATGTACCTACCAATTTAGAGAGGGCCAGAAGGGGCATCAGCTGATAGAAAGGTACTTAGTATTTTCCATCCCCCCCCCCATTATGTGGAAGCAAAATTGGGAATGCCTCTCTGTGCTGATTGGTCCTCCAGTTTCCCAAGACTAATTGGTATTGAAAGATGCCAACTAAGTTGGTTACTGTTGTTTATCCACTTTAGCAGAGGCAACCAAGGTGGTTTGTGAGGGACCTTGAAGCTGAATCTGGCTTTTATACTACGATAGATATTTAGTTGACAGGTAGCACAGAATGGTGGATAAGGTATTTTGCCTTTTACCTGAAGTTAAGAAGACATAGGTTAGAGTTCTGCTTTGAACATTTACTACTCGGTGTTTACTGATGGACCGTTTTACAGATGAGGAAAAGTGAGGCTCCAAGAGGTTGTGACTTTGGGGAAGTCACTCTTGGAGCCTCACTTTTCCTTATCTGTAAAATGGTCCATTAGTAAACATTGATTAAGAGCTTACTCTCTGCCAGACACTATGCTAAGTGCTAGGGATACAGAAAGGCAAAAGATAGCCCCTGCCCTCAAGGAGCTTACATTCTAACGGGGCAGACAACATACAAACAAATATGTGCAAAGCAAGCTATATCCAAGACAAATAGGAAATAATTAACAGAAGGAAGAGACTGGAATTAGAAGGGGTTAGGGAAGGCTTCCCATAGAAGATGGGATTTTAGTTGAGACTTAAAGGAAGCCAGGGAGGTTGGTAGCCAGAGTGGAGGAGGCAGAGTGTTGTGAAGGCAGGGAGAATGGCCAGAGAGTGTTTGGAGCCAAAAGATGGAATGTCTTGTTAGTGAAACAGCGGAAGCCCATGTCACTGGGTCAAGGAGTATGTGTTGTTGGGGAGTAAGGTGTAATAAGACTAGAAAGGTTATGAAGGGCTTTGGATGTCAAATAGAGTATTTTGTATTTGCTGTTAGAGGCAGTAAGAAGCCACTGGAGTTTATTGATTAGGGGAAGTGACATGATCAGACCAACATTTTAGAAAAATCGCTTCAGTGGCTGAACAGAGGATGGATTGCAGTGGAGACAGATATGAGGCAGGCAGATCCACCAGCAGGCTATTGAAATAATCAAGACATGAGGTGATGACAGCCTGTACTGCCGTGGTGGCAGTGTCACAGGAGAGAAGAGGGCATATTTGAGAGATGTTGCTAAGGTGAAATTGACACTCTTTGGCAACAGCTTGGATATGTGGGGGGCCGGTGAGAGATAGTGGGCTATCTGGGATGACTCCTAGGTTGTGATCCTGAGGTCCTAGGAGAATTGATGTTGCCCTCTACAATAATAGGGAAGGTAGGACAGGGGGAGGTTTTAGGGGAAAGAGAATGAGTTCTGTTTTTGACATATTGAGTTAAAGATATCTATTGTATGTACATTTTGAGATGTCTGAAAGGCAGTTGGAGATGAGAGATTGGAGATCAGCAGAGAGATTGGGGCAGGTTATATAGATCAGCTACTCATCAGCATAGAGATTATAATTAAATCCCTGGGAATTGATGAGCTCACCATATGAAGTAGAACAGAGGGAGAAGAGAAGAGGGCCCAGGACAGAGCCCTGAGGGACATCTACAGTTAGAGGGTATGATCTGGAGGAGGATCCAGCAAAGGAGACAGAGAAGGAGTGGGCAGATCGGTAGGAGGAGATCCAGGACAGAATGGTGTCCTCAGAACCTCAAAGAAGAAAGTATCAGAGAGGAAGAGTGATCAGCAGTGTCAAAGGCTTCAGAGAAGTCAAGGAGAATGTGGATTGAGATGTGGGAACTAAGAGTTCATTAGTCATTTTGGAGAGAGCAGTTTCTATGGAATGATAAAGTTGGAAACCAGATTGTAAGGGTTAAGAAGAGAGCGAGAAGAAAGAAAGTGGAGGCACCTGTTCTGGGTGGCCTTTTCCAGAATAGTTCCTACCTCGAATGGTTGTTGAGATGATATAGATAAAGTGCTTTATAAACCTTAAAGTACTATATAATAAATATGAATTCTGGGTAGCCTACAACTAGGCACTGGAATCAATGCTGTGTTTTACCTTTGAGTGTTTCTCTGCCTTCTTTGCTCTCCCAGTGGGTTCTGAGTTGAGAAGTGGAGCAGCTGGGGGCAGTTCGATGATGTGGGAGATACAGTGCTAGTTTTGGAGTCCAGAACATCTAAGTTCAAGTCCTGTCTCAGATACTTGGCAGCTGTGCAATCCTGGGCAAGTCACCTAACCTCTCTTAGTCCTCAGTTTCCTTATTTGTAAATGTGGGTTATAATAGTATTCTATCTTACAGGGTTGCTGTGAGGATCAAATGAGATAATATTTGTAAAGTGCTTTGCAAACCTGAAAGCTCTATATAAATGCTTGTTGTTGTTTTGTTCTTCTTAATATACTGGAGAAAGGCTTTCCAGAACTAGCGGGAGTTCTTCCTACTCCCAAATGGTTTGGAGGTTGGATCCCAGGAAAAACCAGGATGTTGGCAAGATAGGACTTACAGGACTAACATTTATATAGCACTTTAAAGTTTGTAAACGCACTTTAAATATGTTATTCTCACTTGATCCTCATCACAGCCTTGTGAGGTGGGTCCTATTATTATCGCCATTTTGCAGATAACGAAACTGAGACTGAAAGGCTAAGTGACTTTCCCAGAGTCACACAGCTAGTATGTTTATGAATTAGAATTTGAACTCAGGTCTTTCTGACAAGAAGTCCAGTGGCCTAGCCACTGTGCCACATAGCTGACTTGAGTAGTGATTTCTTTCAACTCTTGAGATATCATTGCTTATTATATGCTTATTGCCATTAAGGGGGAGTGCTTTGCCAGGGTCTAATTTTGGCTTTGTTTCAGAATGAGCTAAACTTATTAATGTTTATGAATCTTTTGTTTTGATTTGGACAGATATGGAGGCCAATCACTGCAACATTTTTTTTCCCAGTTGGCCCAGGAACCGGATTTCTCTACTTGGTGAATTTATATTTCTTATACCAGTATTCTACAAGACTAGAAACAGGTATGTTTTTCTTTACAATGATTTCCATGTGGGTGTGGGCTTTCAGTGTGGCCTTTGCATAATACATCTGTCCAAATGCTTTCTTATTTGATGGGATATTGAAGGCAGTTGGGAGAAGAGAAACCTAAAGTATGCCTGATATCAGAGAAAAACCCCATGTTTAAATGTTGACTTTTCATTTGTAATTGGGTAGGTTCACTTTACTTTTATACTTTTTTTGGTTGGGGGTGAGGTGAAGCATCTTGGGTAATTAAGGCCAGATACAGTCTTAAGTGGAAGGAAATCATTTGCAGAGAAACTTCAGAAGCTCAGTTTAGCTGCATACTTGGGCTATAATCCTATGATAGGTTTCCAGATTTATGGTTTGGATTATAGGTACATTGGAACAACCTTCAGCTAAAATTTTCTGTTCACTAAATTGTGATTTATTCCCTGCAGTACTCTTGTGTGCTCTTGTGAATTGCTGCTTATATTAAGAGATGGTAAATCAATACTGCTGTGATAAAAATGTGAAAATAATTTGACTGTTAAGTCCAAATGGTTTTGAAAAGGTTGACTGACTTAACAGTCATTATATTCTTAAAATAAGCTGACTGGCTATTAGTCCAGGACATAGATTGAAGGTCCTCAACTGCCCGTGATTCTAATAAAGAACTTAATACCACTGAAAAATGGGAGTTACATATTTGTTGTTTGGGAAATATGAAGCTTATTTACTATTTTAAACTGGAAAGAAAAAGTATGTTGCAATTTTCTTAAGCTGGTATTTTCAATAAAGAGCTATTACAAAAATGTGTATAGAGAATACAAGCATCTTATTCTGTATATGTGTATATTCTTTCATAGATTTTACTTTTTGAAAAGAGCTTCCAACTCATCCAGATTCCTATTTTACATATGAGGAAACCTCAGAGAGAGGCTAGGTAACTTGCCCAAGGTTGCACAGCTCTTTGATGGCAGAAGGTCTCCTGAATGTCAGTGTTGAGCTAGGGACTGCAGTCACATGGCATCCCAACCCTCTGGCATATACTTTCTGAGCATATTGCTTCCCTTACTGAAATAGTCTTTTTGAATGACTTGTGAGGGCTTTTCCAACTCTAAATCTGTGCTCTGGATATCAATACTCAAATATCATCTAGGTAGATTATCAGTGGCTAGTTTTTAAGTCCAGGCTGGCTTTTCCCTGGTGTGTGTGGTTTTTTGAACCCACCTCTGCTTAGCCAGCCAGTATTTCCTCAGGAAATGCAAACTGATTTTTAATATTAATTGAAACTATACATAATTAGATAGATATATGGAAAAAATATGCATTTCAAGGCCAAATGTGTTGAATGTCTGGTTGGGTTTTTTTTGCAGTTGTAACTCGTGCATTTGCATGGATAATTGAAAGCTGACTCTCCACAAATGTCACTGAGCAAATGTGAACTCCCACCAAGTCACATAAGAAGTTTGATGTAGAAGAGTTTAGAGATCATTTTGTTTAGTCTCTTCATGTTTGAAATGAAGAAATTTGGAATTCAGAAAATTTAAGTGGCTTATTGAAGGCCGCACAGCTTTTTTAGGACAGTCAGGACTCGAACTCACGGTTTCTGTTTTTCAGCTCAGTGCTCTATCCATGATACTATTTAGACTCAGTAAATTGGACTTAATACAATTTTTATCAGCCCCAGGTGTTGCTGCCTGAATATTTACCAGCCTGACCAAATTTTTAAGGTACTCAGTATGTGTGGGTGCTTGCTTATTTATGAGGCTTCTGATTTGAATGGGAAATTGTAATTTGAGGCCTGTTAATTTGCAAGTTTTAATTCACTCAAGTAACTAAAATGTCAGTTTATTCAGTTTGTGTGATTACAATGTCTTAAGTACTCAGATTCTGAAGTTGTCTTTGAAAAAGTTGTAACACTGAAAGCCATCTTGAAGGCATAAAGCCTTCATTCAGAAATGGCATTGGAATTTCAGGCAGATTTATTACTGTGAGACTTTAACATTGATCTCTTCTCAGTGTTGTGCTCAGAATACCCCATGCTGCAGTGTGGCAGAGAAACAAAGGAACTTGGAGGAGACTGATGCTTTTAGTTGATGCACTTCCTCCTAGACTGACCTGTGTTCTCCTGAGACTGTAGATTTCCTTCTGGTTTTCTTTTCAGCCTCCTTAAAGATGCCCTGTCACTAAGAATACTCTAGTTTGATTCTTGATTTACTAGCTGTGTGACCCTGGGGAAGTTATTTAACTACTCTGAGCCTCAGTTCCTCACCTGTGGAGTGGTTAGTAATAGCAGCACCTGCCGTTGTAGGGGTGTTATAAAAATCAAATGTGATAACGTATAGAGAAAGCTTGCAAACCTTAAATGCTGTATAAATGCCATTACTATTACTACTGTAACTAATAAAATTTAATTCAACTTACATAAGGGCATACTGTATGTTTGGCCCTGTGCTAGCCAGTGTTACTTTTGTATAACTGGCTGATGGAGACAAGTTAACTTTTCCAGTAGGCACACCTCCCTGTGGAGGGAAAGGCAAGGAGGGGCTAGTGCTGCCTCTGTATCTGTTCTGTCGGGCCTTGATCACCATCATTAATGTGGGGGCAGGAGTTATACATAAACCCGGGCCTGGAAATCAGAGGGTCTTAGAACTTGTCGTGTTTCTGACATTAATTTGCTATGTGACTTTGGGCAAGTCTCTTCTTTTCTTTGATTCTTGATTCTTCTATGAAATGGGGATGATCCCTTCTCTCCCTATATCAGAGAGATTTTCTAGAACTCAATATATTTTCAAAATGCAAAGTACCATAGACATGACTATAGATATTTGAAAAAATGATTGACATCTGGAGCATAATATTTCCTTATTACATGTTTTCACTAAGTTGGTTCCTTTCATTAGGGAATACTTTGCAAATAACAGACTTTGCATATTATTACATGGATTTTGAAGGATCAGTGAATGATTTTCTGGAGCTGGAGGTTCTAGGGTACTAAACTCAGATTTTTTAAGAAATATTTTGCTGTTTATCCTCAGACTGGTTCTTTCTCCCGCCATCTTACTCTGCTCGATGTGTTATCTCCCCTTCTCCTCCTCTGTAGTACTTTCAGGAATATAATCCTCCTGTAAAAGGAAGACCATCTTGACTTTATGATCATATGTTGCCCTAGTTAGAATGCAGCGACTGTGGCCTGTGCCACGCTGCTTTTAGTGTGCAGCCACTAGCTTTTTGTTGCACCCTTGCATGCTGTCTGCTATAGGCAGAGGGCCTGGAGTCAAGCCCTGACTGTCATTTACCAGCTCTGTGATTGTGGCTGGTCATGGAACTTCTCTGATTCTCAGTTCTCTAATCTATCAAATGTACACAATGTTTCTGTTTACCACACAGGCTTGTCATGAGGAGCAAATGAGACATTGTACATGAAAATGCTTTGTAAACTATAGGTATTATGGAAATGTAATTATGAATAAACATACATCGTAGAATTTTAGAGAAACCTGGGACCTTACAGTCATTAATCAAACTCCTTAAAATAGCAGATGAGGTTAGGTGCAGAGTAGTCAAGTGACTTGCCTGAGGTCACATGCAAATAAATGGTAAAGCTTTGACAAGTACCCAGACCTCCTGGGCTTTGTCCAGGGCATCTTCTGTGATGCTGCCTGCTGGCTGGCTGCTGCTTGCCCTTACCTCTCATCCCTACAGTTCCCCCTTGGAGACACTTAGAGTGTGATTATCCTTAGAGACCTTTGGAGTTGATCCTAGGGCAGTACATCAAAAACATATTGGAATTCCGATGGGGAACCAGAGCTGACTTCACTCGAGTGACTTTAGTTTGGGGGCTTATATAGCTGTGTCATTTAAAATGTCAGAAAAGTTTGTTTTCAGTTAAACCTTTATCATTTTATTCAGCAGGTTCTGCCCTCTGTGTCCCCCTCCTCCCCTCATGAAATTGACTGTTTTTCAGCATTATTTTTTTGTTCCCTCATTTATTCTGGAAATGTGCTATTTTGTTTATTTCATTTTTTGCCACAGGACATATCTTGATCAGGAAATCTGACCTTGCTTATTTTTGTTTTCAGGGGCTTTTGATGGAAGGCCAGCGGACTATATGTTCATGCTCCTTTTTAACTGGGTTTGCATCGTTGTATCCTTCTGCTCATCATTACTTTCCGTGTGAATGAGCCCCTCCTTTTCGTGTTTTGAAAATCCAAACAGGATTTCATCAAACTCTGCACATTGTTGGTCTCTTTGCTTGCTAGCTGGTCTAGCCTCTTCTTAAAACCCTAGGGTTAAGAAGAGCTGTGATGCTTTTTCTCACTATTTCCTTTGTGAGACTTTTCACATTTTTGTGTGGGTTTTATTCCTCTTTTTGCCTCCTGTTCTTTGTGTTCTCATGTGTGACAGCTCATTGACTACAGAAAGAAGAGATGAAGTACCTTAAGGGAGCTTGTGAAAGCTGGTTATCCTGGAAATTTAGTCTGAAATCGGCACCCTTTTGTCACTACATTGGCTTCAGGTACTCAGTGGTAATTAAGCCCCCCTTTCCAATAAAGAGCCTATCTCCATAAAAGGACAGCATGGAGTCCAATTTGCTCTTTGCATCAACAGAATTGTCAGCAGGCCGGGCCCTCCATCTTCTGAGTCCTTATGACAGACGGTGAGAGCAGCAGAAGGAAGGAACTCAGTGGTTCAGATCCTCAGCAGAGTTGGTGAGGCTGGCGGCAAGAAAAATTGCCTGTGGGCTTTTAAACTTCCATTTTCAGCTTGGAAGAGAGCCAGTAAATAGGGCCCTGTTGGGTATTTTTCTCCCTTCTTTTTGGGAAGTTGTTTTCTGACTGTAGCCACACTTTGAAGTCCAGTAATGAGCACAGCCCCAAAGAGCATTGACGGTCCCTATCCCAGAGGGATGAGCACTTGCCTTCTCTGCCTGAGAGAGAAATGCAGAAACTCCTAGAGAGCAAAGGCTAGGCAGTTTTGAACATAAAAGCAATTAATTTCTACTGTTGCTTGTTTCTTGACATCTGTTTTAATATGTGAAGAGTCACCACAGACCGTGGCAGCAGATAGTATGTGCTTGGACATTTTAAGCAAACTCAACTATGGAAAATATTTTTCAGTTCTTAATTTTGCCTTCTTGCTTCAGAGGAATGTCTTAGACTAGATAAACCCCCACCATAAAACCTCCAACCCAGATTCTGTGAAGGAAAACCTTTATATTGAAAAAACATCACCACCAACCACCATCAAAAACCAATAACCAAATCAAATTTGATTTTACACATTATTTCCTGTTGAATTTTCTTTAACTATACAAACTAAGATCACTGGTTTAATAATGGACATGCAGGTAAGTACCTCCATTAAAAATACATATGGATTTGCAAAGATTTTTAATATATTTAACTGCTTTATCAGAAGAATTGCTTGTGTGTTGCATGTATATGCTTATGGTGTTTTAAAATATTACTGTTTTATTCAGAATAAGCTTTTTTGCATGAGAAAATTGGTGATATTTTGAACCAATGCTTTGGGGACTTATTTGCCTGACTTTTGCATTGTTTGTCTTTCACTCTCAAGATAATGGGTGTGATGCTTCTTAAATTCCTTTGAAATGGGGGGAAAAAGGAATAGAATTTTGGAGAAAGTATTTGTCCTTCTTGCTAGCAAAATCATCAGGATGCATTTTCTTCTTTATCTTAACGCATTACTTGTGTGTTTATTAGCATTTCCCAGCTGTGGAGTTTCAGGGCACCCTGCCTCCCTTCCTCTTTTGCTATCACTCCCCATGAGTTCTTGTCTGATGAAATATACATTGGACTGATTTATGTGTATTGCCTAATCCATCTGAGAGTGGTTAGGTTGTGTTGCATCTGACCTTTTCTTGCCTGGTGGAATTGATCCATTCATTTCAAGATTTCAGTTTTTTCCCCCCAAAGTAGTAGTAGTTATACTGTGCTTTTAGTTGCTAATCCTTTCATTTTTCCCTTTTGGTCAGGCATGTGGTTATTTGATTATCTCCAATTTATCCTGTATATATCTTGCTTGTACATAGTTTCCCTGTCTCCCTCATTAGACTGGGAACTCCTTTTGAGCAGGGGCTGGTTATTTTTTCCTTTCTTTGTATTCCCAGCACTTAGCACAGTGCCCTGACACGTAGTAGGTGCATAATAAATACTTAATTGGTTGAATGATGACTGGGTGCTTATTTGTAAACTTAAAAAAATAAGATTATGACTTGCTAAACCCCACTAGATTTGGATCATGTTCTTTTTTTCCCTCCCATTCCAGTTTAGGGGTATATGTTCCCTCATTTTCCTTTTTACATCCACCAAAAATAGCACCACATTTGAGGTGCTTGGATATCTCATCAGATTAAGTTCTAGCCAGATAGACATTAGAAAAAGAACTAGCCGGATTTCTTTGTGAGTCTCTCTGTTCACTTGGTCTTACGTATCTAATTTCTTTTGCAGTTGCTGATGATTCCTTTGATCATGTCGGTACTCTATGTCTGGGCCCAGCTGAACAGAGAAATGATTGTATCATTTTGGTTTGGAACACGATTTAAGGTACATTCCCCAAAGTAGGAATTCATCCTCCTTCACCCTTCTGGAGGGAGGGCTCAGCCTTTTTTTCAGCTCCGAGATCCAGTTTCTGGCTCCTCCAGAAGAGGTCAGTGCAGAGCAATGTACTACAGGCAGCTCCAGGGACTGAGTTTTTATTTATTTAGTATGCTTAAAAAGACTAACCTTGTCTGAACTCCTATGCTATTTTAATATGGGTAACACCTGTTGGAGCAAAAGGTGGTGGGCGCCTTACCTCACAAAAAGGTCAGTTTGTCTGAAGGCAGGCAAGGTTTCTCTTGTTGAAGTCAAGTAGGAGGAAATGCTTCATTATTTAAAATCCTATTTTTGAGCTTTTCCCCTCTGCTGTTCTCATTTCATGTGAGTACAGTTGTGTGAGTTTCAGACCTACCCATGGAGTGAATGACTAGAATGGGCATCCTTTTGTTTCTCCTCAGCTGTGTGATAGGAACATTCAGGCTCCCTTGTTTTCTGTAATTGAAGAAACTGAGGGCCAGAGTGGCTAGATGCCTTGCCTGAGTTTGGATAGCTAGTGCGTGGTAGAAATGGTTTTTAGGCCAGTGAACAATGTCTCCATTGAAGAGTACAAAGCGTACTGTAAACAACACCTACGAGCCAAGAGATGAAGGGGGCCAGACAGGGTGGGCCAGTAAAATGTCAGAAACTGGGGCTCTGATCCCAGCTCCTCTGGGACAGGATGAGTCACTTCACCATTCTGATGTACAAGTCTCAATAATGCCTTTCCCTGGCCGCTGCCTCACAGACGGCTTATGTAACGAACAAAGGAAAGGCGCTTTTTGGATTTTCTTCCATTCCCTTTCTCCCCAGTTAGAAATAACACCAATAACAAACCACAATCATAAAGTTTAAAAGTCTACATGTATGCATGACCTGTCTCAAGATCATGCACATATATGATCTTGCCCACATATAGTCTTAGTTTCTCTTATGTGAAGAATGTGGAAGTGATTGTTGGGCTCGCAGAGGACTTTGTAGAGTTCCATTCCTACTTATCATGACTTAACGAGGTGCTAGCCTAATATCATCTGTTTGTGTATTTCTTCCTAGGCCTGTTACTTGCCTTGGGTCATACTGGTATTCAACTACATTATTGGAGGATCGTAAGTATTATTATATTTTGTTTGTTTCTTTGGGAACTTAATAATCTTTTCTCTCTTTTACTCTCCCTTGAATCTTTATATATGTTAAAATAGCGCTAGCTTGGAATGTTTTGCTATTCCCATTAACAATAACTACGTTGCACTAAGGTAACATACTTCTGTTTCTTACTATTGCAGCTTATTGAATACCAGAGTGCTAAGGATATAGGTTAGGAAATGATTACTCTTTTGCTTATTCATTATTTTTGGATAGCACATTTTAGTCATGGTTGGAAGTGTCTTTGACCTTTTTCTGTATGCAATGTTTCTTCATGTACTCATTTTTCAGATTGAGTTGGTGAATGTCTAAAATTGCATATGGGTTGACTGTCCCTCAGGGATTTAATCTTTAAATATTCTAACTAAAATGATTCATTTTATCCTCAATAATCTTAAAATACTTATGAAACTCTTATGTAGAGATCATTCTACCAGTCACAGAAGTGCAAGTTTTTTTCTAGGTGGAATTTGTCATCTGAAGTGGTAACAGTTTTTAAAGTACTGTCAGAGATTGCCGGTGAGGCCAAATTTCAGAGTCCTTCCATTTGAATGTACTTTCATTGTTTTCCTGTGTGATACTCTGGATCTATACCAGACATTATTTAGGTGTGGAATGGTGAGTCAGACTTAGGAAGACATTTGATCTAATGGGAGTAAAAATGTTGTTCGGTTAAAATTTAATAAAGAATATGAGTAGGTAGAAATAAGCTAAGTGGAAATAGTGTTCATCATTTCAGTAAGCATTTATTAAGCTCTTACTACATGCCAGGCACTGGTGATAAAAAGACAAAAAGGAAATAATGCCTGCTCTCAAGAAGCTTTACTTTCCAAGAGCTTTTTATTTCTATCAAGTGTCATCTGGTTTTGAATGATTCCAGTAGGCAAGATGTCAGTTCTGTCACCTAATACATCGTTAGGGTTGTCTCTACTGAATGCTAGTGAACAAAGAAAGTTAATCATGGAAACAGTATATGCACAGGGAGCCTGGGAAAGGAAACTGCTCTTCCAATACAAATTGATAAAACAGGAGAGAAGAACTTTATTTGACCAACAGCTATCTAGGGTTAGTTGTAGTTATTGACTGACTGCTGACAATAAGTAAGATCACCTTTAAAATAAAGGCTTCTGGGTCTGGCTGCTAGGAGAGAGCAGAGAGCTGGTGACCTCTATACTATTAAATACATAGAAATTTTTAAATGTAGGGTTACAGAAGAACTGGAAAGGGAAAATATTTAGTATAGTGGTGCCCAGTGGAGGTCAAACATCCCTTTGTAAGTGTAGTCATGGTGCCTTAATCATCCATCAAATTAATGTTTTAGGGAATAAACTGCCAGAAGGACTTCCCACTAAACTGTCCTATCTTTCCTACTACCCTTTTCTTTTTTGGCAGAGTTGGGTTTGTAATGGTAGTTGGAAGCCATCTAGAATGAATTCTCTCTCTTCCCTAGTTCCGTACTTCATATCCCCTTAACATCATCTCCTATTTACTCCATCTTTTCTCTGGTCTCTGAAGAGGTAGACTTTCTTCTTGCCAAGTCTTAACCTCTCTTTTTGAGTCCTTCATCCCATCCCCTCCTTTGGGTGTTGAGAAGTAAAACCAAACTTTCATTTGATATGGCCGTCTCCTCAAGCTAGCATTCTATACCTCATCTTCTCTTCAGACTTCTAGATAAAGCAGTTTGCATTTAAGTTCCTTTACATTCTCATCTCCCATTCACTTTTCAGCCCCTTACAATCAGGCTTTCAGGCTTCTTGACTAAAGCCAGCTCCAAATCTGTGATGCTATGAAAATGATCTCTTCCAGGTTCCCAAGGGCATCCCAGTCTATAAATCCAATGTCCTTCGCTCAGTACTCACCCTTGATATCTTCATTATCTAGCACTGTTGACTACCACCCCTCTTCCTAGATATTCTCTTTCCCCTGGGTTTTCATGACATTGCTCTTCCTTAGTTCTCCCCCTTCCTACCTGTCTGATCAGTTCTTCTTAGTCTCCTCATCATCCCTTCCTGGGCTTTGTTCTGGGCCCTCCTGTCTTCTTTCTCTATATTCTCTTTATTGAAGATCCAGCTCCCATGGAAATCATTTATCAGCTCAGTGCAGATGGTTCCAAAATTTTATTTCTCCTGAATTTCCAGTCCTGTATTACAAATTGTCTGCTAGACATTTCAACCCAGATAGTCCAAAGGAAGTCTCAAATGCTGCATGTACAAAATGGAACTCATCTTTGCCCCTAAGATCATCCCTTTTCCTTAGTGTCCTGTTTCTGTTGAATGTATTAGTCATTCTTCTTGTCATCTAGGTTAACAACCTAGGAATCATCTTAAGTTTTTCCTTCTTCACCTTCTCCGTTTCCTGTTTTGCATGATTCCATATGTATAATCAATATGAAATTGCTTGCCTTCTCAAGAATGGGGGAGGGGCAGGAAGGAGGGAGAGAATTTGGAATGGCATTTTTAAAAATGATTGTTAAAAATTTTTTAATGTAATTGGGAAATATTTAAAATAAATAAAAATATTTTAAAAAAGAAAAGAAACAACTTAAATTTAAAAAATTATCCTTTCAAGCCAAACATAAAAAAAAGACATTCCCCATTTCCATTCTTGATTCCAGCTGTACAACATCTCTCATCCAACTCCTTCTATCTACCCATTATCCTTATTTTAGGCTTTTGTAGTGTCTTGTCTAGACTTTTGAAATAATCTCCTAATTGACCGTCACCCTCTCCTCCCTGCTTCCAGTCTCTTTTTCTTCCAAGTCATCCTCTGCATAGTGGCCAAATTGATAAGTCTAAAGCTCATATGTGAACATGTCACTGCCTTGCTCCACAATCTTCAGTGACTCCCTCTTGCTTTTAGGATAAGATATAGAGTCTTTGTTTGGCATTTATAAACCTTCACAGTTTGACTCCAATTTGTATTTCTAGGCTGATTTCACATTACTTTTTTCTCTTTCCCTTCCCCTCTTCCTCCTACCCTGCCCCACCATGGTCTAGTCAAATGGGCCGACTTTTGATGTTGCTGTTATGCAAACATTCCATCTCATCTTTGTGCCTTGGCACAGGCTGCCCAGTGCCTGGAATTCTATGCCTCCTCAATCCTTTTCAAGCCTTTGCTCAGGTGATACTTTCTACACAAAGCCATTCTTACCTGTTTCCCTGCCCCCAGAATACCGCCCCCCCCATTACCCCTTATTTACTTTTTATGTATTTTGTACTTTCTCATCTGTGTACATGCTTTTTCTCTTAATAGAGTGTAAGCTTCTTGAAGTCAGGGTCTATTTCGTACCCTTTGACCAGCAAAGTATTTGGCACAGAGTATGAACTGAAGTGAATGGTTAGGACTAATGGCCTTGGAAGAATTTCAAATAACAGGCCTCAGCAGGGCTAAATTTTCCCTTCCCATCATTGAAATTCCTTGGAGCAGAGGCTCATAGAAGTTTTAGATAATCCCTGGGGTTTGATCACTTCATGAGCCACAGTGTAGGACATTATTGCTGACACCTCAGGAGAGCATAGTTGATAGGGCTCAGGAAGACCTGCATTCAGATCTTGTCTCCGATGCGGAACTATCTCTGTGATCCTGGGCAGGTCACAGTGTTTCCTAGCCTCAATTTCCTTTTCTATAGAATGGGAGTAATAATAACACAACCTCACAGGGTTGTTGTGAGGATCAAGTGAGGTAACATCTGAAAGTCCTTTTTAAACCTTCAGGAATTATGTGAATATTAGCTGTCTTATTGTCGTCCTCGTCATCACTGTAAAGCCTTTCATTGTTTGCAAAATTCCTGTAGAATAATGTGACTTTTATTTTTCAGGGTTATCAATGAGCTGATAGGAAATCTTGTTGGACATCTATATTACTTCTTAATGTTCAAATACCCAATGGATTTGGGAGGAAGAACTTTTCTGTCTACACCTCAGTGTCTGTGAGTGGTTTTCTTTTTTTCCATTTTAATTGTTACCGCCTATCTTTCACCAGTCCTGCCAGTTCTATAGGATAGGAATTAACATCACATTGGGAGAAGAAATCTGAGGCACAGACAGTAAATGACTTGAGAAGGGATCACAGGGTTAATGGGAAGCCAAGTGTGATTAAGGACAGGTCTCTCAATTCCTAAGCTACTCCTCTGATCCTTCCATAGGTCTGTAAATGGCTAGCTAGACCATTGGCCCATGAAACACCATTCCCACAGTAGTTGGGAAAAATACCCCCTGCCCAACAATGTGACTGAATTTAGGGGCAGCTTTCCTAGATAGAGGGTTGGCATCATCTCTGTTTTACTCCATATTTACCATGGAGTCTTAGACATCCACAACTGGAAAGCAGTTGTCTAGCCCTGTCCCCTCAGTTTACAAATAAGGAAACTGCAGCTAAAAGAGTTTGAGCAATTTGCCCAAGGTCGCAGGGTTAATGGGTTACAGAAATGGTTTGCTTGATGCTCATTCCAACATTATGTCCACTCTCTTTGTAGAATACCTGCCATTTGGAGTAACACTTACTACTTGGAAATCAGGGTGGGTTGCTATTAACATGTAAATTTCTTCAAGCCACCAGCTTCTAACTTGGCTTTTTACCCCCATTCCTGAGCACTTGAGGTGGTGATTGGCCCAGCAAAGTAAATTATGTTAGGCCTAAAAAAGACACCTTCTCTTAAGTAGATGTAGAGAGTATCCAGAAGCACATCCCTAACACCTGTTGTGAATCCTTGAATGTGAATATTGTCAGGTAATTCTGGTGGTCAGGCCAGGGGAGGAGGCAGTGCTACTGTGGGCCAGGCTGAATCCAGGAACAGCCCTAAAGGAATACTAAATCTGATAAGCAGTAGCTCCCTTTAGGCATGGAGGGGAGAAGTAGAGAGGTCAGAACCCCGAAGGTAAGAATCCAGGTTAAAGCAAATGCTAGAGAGTGCGTAAAAAGGATTATTTAATGCTTTTAACCTATGCCAAAAAAACCCTTACTAACTTGAGCTCCTTAGCTATATGTCATTTATATGCCCCAATTCTTGAATCTTTAGCATTAACAAATAATAACAAAATCAGTTAGTATGAGGAGGTTTCTGAAAGGTCCAGCCAGGCTATGGTAGGATGTCGAGGTCCCCACAGGGATGGAAATGTGCTGATGGCATCGTTGTGGCCGTCTGCCTGCTCTAAAATCCTGATAGTTGGTCCACAAGCATTTATTAAGGGTCTGTGCGCCAGGAGCCATGCTAAGCCTTGGGAATACATATTTGTGGCCTCTTTCTATACAGCTATTTTCTTAGAGTTTGGGAAAGCCCCAGTTCATGCTCAAGGGAAGAGGGTGGCTGCATTTGGAGTTGGAGGACCTTGGTTTAAATCATGGCTCTGATAGTTAATGTACCTATATAACCTTGGGCAAATCACTTCACTTCTGAGCCTCAGTTTCCTCATTTGTAAAATTAAGGGCATCGGATTGAAGGAGACTCTTAAGTTCTGTTCCAGCTCTTGGTCTTCGGTCCTGTGCGCTGTTAGGTGATTCTTGTTGACTAGAAAGGAGACAAAAAGAAGATATCCTCATAAATTCAGGCATAAGAATGGGGAAGGAGTCAGAGGACTTTAGTTCTGGTCTTGACTCTGCTCTTCACTGGCAAGTCCATTAACCTCTCTGTGCCTAAATTCCCTGGTTTGTAAAATGAGGGGGTTGGGCTCCGTGGTTCAGAAGGTGTTAGCCAATGATTTTCTGTGAGCATCCGATGAAAGAAGCAAAAGCATGTTAAGAATGGGTCAGCCACAGAGCCATCTGGATGCCCAAGCCTGGCTGGCAGGCATGTCTGATCTCACGTCTGAAACACAAAAATGTTTTGAAATCCTAACAACTCGTGTCTAGATTGTGCTTTTTACTTTTTAAACTGTTTTCTCACCCTGTCAATTTGGCTGATTTGCTGTCCTGATTCCTGTAACTGACAGTTTAGGAAAAGCCTTGGTGTGTTTGTGTATGGGGGGTTGTGGTCAGGAGAAGGGTATAGAGGTTGGGGACTGGAGGCACAGAAGGGGCTTAGTTCTCTTGTGAACTCTGTTGCTTCTAGTCTCTGAACACAAATGGCAAACCTGCTTTATAGATGATCATAGGGAGCACCAGCTGAATAACAGATTTTCATCTCTGGGTCACATCTCTCTGGTTGCACAAGATAATTGTATTAATGAAATCAGCTGCAGTTTGGTTGGCCTCCTTTGGAGGAAGCAGATAGCTTCTTCTCTCTCCCTGCCTGCTCCCTCCCAGCCTCCATAGATCCTGGGTCATTGAATGCAGCAGTCTGTGTTAGCTTTGTGATTTGTAGTGCACAGAGGTAGATAGTTCTGTGATTTCTAACGGCACCAGAGCTCCTGCTTTCTACTGGAGCTTCTCGGCTGGTGGAAGCCTTTCTGCTAAATTTTGTAAGATGATCAGATTACAAAATGTAACTTAAAATGTGTTAGTTGCAAAAGCAATAACTGCTTCAAAATTACCATAAATTTTTGTTGATTATGTATAATTGGATGTCTTTTTATACTAATTACTTGTATTTAATTTCCCTGTAATATGTTTGAGCAGTAGAAACAGCTTCAGTATAGTCTTACAGTAGTAAAGCAAAATTGCCCTTAGTGTGGTATCTTTTTTTTTGTATGAATATTATTATGTTAGAACCAGTCATCATACTGTTGAATAAGAGACTTTGAAAATGTACTTTAATTTAATATTCAACATTTATTTGTTTAAAGCGGGGGAAATGTCAGTGTTAGAATGTTAAGATGTGGCAGTGTTTTTGGCATTCTATTTTAAAATGGAATCCCAGAGGGGTAATGTTAGATGTGCTCCTGTAGTTACTTTTCTCTGGTGAAGAGCAATTCATTGTGCTTCTCAAGAAAGAAAACAATGCAATGAGAGATGATATTCATGTCAGGGGAAATACAATCATAGGTTTCATTTATAAGACTGAGAATGGTTATCACCAGAATCAGGGGAGTTAGAAGAGGTTTCAGAGGCTATCTAGTCCAGCCATTCGTCTTTAGGACATTTCTGAGTGGTGAAAACCTCAAGTGAAGGGGCAGCTACATACCTCCCTGGGCCACTTTTGGACAGTTTCAATTGTTAGGAAGTTCTTCCTGTCTCATGCATTGCTCCTGGTTCTGCCCTCTGGGGCTACATATGACAAGGCTACATGAGAGCCACATGAAGACAGTTATCGTGACCTCTCCCTGCACCAAGTCTTATCTTTTCCAGGCTGAACATCCCCAATTGGTATTCTCTAGCTTGTCAACGTATTTCTTAAATGTGGTGCTCAAAACTGACTATGGTGTTCTAGATATAGGCTGACCAATACATGAAGTAGTTAGTTGTATCTGTCCTATCACTTCCCCCATTGTGGAAGCTGTGCCTCTTTCTCAGTGCTTCCTGAGATCACCTTAGCTTTTTTGGCTGGCATATTGCAGTATTGACTTATTTTGAAATTGCAGCTCACTAAAACCCCCAGGTACTCTTCAGAGAAACTACTCTTTAGCCATATCTCCCTGTTCCTTGCTTGTGAAGTTGGTTGGGTTTTTTGAGCCTTAGAATATGTTTATCACTGTTGACTTTTTTCATCTTAGACTTGGAAATCTTGGTTTGTGGAGATCTCTGTTTTTGACAGCCATTCATGTCCTTCTTCCTTTTGTGTCACCTGCAGGTTTGATAAGGATACCATCTGAGTGATAGGAATGTTGAATAATAGCATGGGGTCCACCATCAGTCCCATGTGTACTCTGCTTGAGACTTTAGCAAGTCAACATCACCCCTTTAATGACTATTCTTTGGGTTCAGTTCTGTAGCCTGAATCCACCATGCAGTCATTTAACTCCCCCATTTCTTCAGACTATCCATAAGAAGAGCATGATTTATCAGCCAATACATACATGTACTATTTTGGTACTTTTCAACCATCGTGCTGGGTTTAAATAGGAATTATTTATTGAGTGCTGATTAAGTGTCCATGCTAGATAAAGAAAAGTAGGGGTGAAGGTCTTCAAGGAACCTGGCCTTTTTTTGTTGGGGAGACAGAACACATATGGAGCCACAGGAGAACAACATAAGATCAGCAGGTAATAAAAGAGCCAGATTGTGTGGTGCCAGAAAACAATAACTGGAATAGGAGTTCAGAGAGAAGGAAATGCTCAGTGTGGGCTAGAGTAATTGGTAAAAGCTTTGTGGTGGAGGGATTGGCTTTAGCGCTAGGCCTCCAAGGATGGGGAGGATTTGGCAGTGTGTAAAGGAGAGGGCTCCTGGGGACTGTACGGTTTGCTGTAGCACAGGTGAGTTAGATTCCGCTCAGGATATGGCTCTCTACATTTAATAGCTTTTTTATTAAGTAATGTCCCTGTAGCTTGAAGCTGCTTCATCTCTGTGCTTTTTTTCCCCTTGCTCCAAACCTTGAAAATATATTTTGAATGTAATAGCACAAATCTAAGCACACTTACGCTGCTGTTTTCTCACTATCCCAGACTGGAAAAGGTAAGAAATGACTTTCTAGTACAGCAACTTCTCAGCTGGGAGGTGGCAGACCTATTCTGAAATTGATGCTCAGGGATGATTTTTTTAAGGAAGTTTATTAGTTAATTTATTTGTAGTTTTCAACAATCACTTCCATAAGCTTTTGAGTTTTAAATTTTCTCCCCCTCCCTCCCCATCTCCCTCCTCAAGATGGCTTGTGATCTGATATAGGTTATACATATACATTCCTATTAAACATATTTTCACGTTAGTCATGTTGTAAAGAAGAATTAGAACCAATAGGAGGAACCACATGAAAGAGGAAAGAAAACAAAACAGGAGAAACAAAAGCAAATAGTATGCTTCGATCTGCATGCAAACTCCACAGTTCTTTCTCTGGATTGGATAGTGTTTTGCATCCTGAGACCTTTGGAGATATCTTAGAGCCTTGCATTGCTGAGAAGAGCCAAGTCTAATAAACTTAGTCATTGTACAACGTGGTTCTGCTCGCTTCACTCAGCATCAGTCCATACAAGTCTTTCCAAATTTTTCTGAAGTCCTCCTGCTCATCATTTCTTCTAGCACAATGGTGTTCCATTACATTCATACACCACAGCTTGTTCAGCCATTCCCCAGTTGATGGGCATCCCCTTAATTTCCAATTCTTTGTCACCACAAAAAGAGCTGTTATAAATATTTTTGTACATGTGTTTACTTTTCCCATTTTTATGATCTCTTTGGGATATAGACCTAGAAGTGCTATTGCTGGGTTAAAGGTCAGGGATGATTTAAACCTTGTCATTTACTCTGTTGGTTTCTATTTTATTTTGTATTCACAGTAAACAGTTAGTGCCTAAAAGTGTAGAGTACTGTGTTAGGTGGAGAGGCCTGGAGATGTGGGCTCAGGATGTTGGGCAGATGCATGGGAACTCCACTCAGTAGACATTAGGAAGTGTTGGCAGAGTTTTGTGCATCTCTAAAATAGAAGGACTAAAGACAATAATATGAAGGGAGATAAAAAAATTAGGATTCTTTTTGTCTGGATGCAACAACCATGGTGATATAAATGAAGTTTATTAAAAACCCTTCCCTAAGTCTGACAGTAATATACTTCCTAGTACTTAATTGGGAAAGAGGCTGCTGTGGAAATATTTGTGAGGAAAATGCTGTGTAAGTATGAGTTGTTATTTTTATATTCTGCAACTGAGGAATGCTTACCCAGTAAGAATTTATCTTTTAGAGGTGTGAAGTTAAGGCTTCAGTTACGTGGAAATTTATCTTTTTTTCCTTCCTCCCTCCTCTTCTCCCTGTTGCTTCCCTGTTCCAGGTACCGGTGGCTTCCTAGTAGGAGAGGAAACATCTCTGGATTTGGTGTTCCACCTGCGAGCATGCGGCGAGCTGCAGAACATCAGCTCGGTGGAGGTGGTCGGCACAACTGGGGCCAGGGCTTCCGACTAGGAGATCAGTGAAAAGCTCACTCGAGTTCAGCAAACAGTGATCCTGGTGTGGGTTGTGCTTAAGACTTGTGTTTTATCTAATGCTGGTGAATCTGGCCCTGCAGAATGTCATTTTTTCAGTACAAGACAAATTGTTAAAAGTCCTGAAGAGAAATGTTAAATTTCCCTCCAAATTAGTGATCACGCTGTACTCTTACTATTCTGAAGAAAGAAACATCAACTCTGCATCTTTCAAAACCAGCTGCTGTTTTTGTGTCTTCTCTTCCCCCTTCCCCTTTTCTGAACAGGGGGTACTCTGGTCCAAGTTTGAATAGCTCTGTAGATTTTTGTTTCTGTGGCAATGTAACCAAAACTTTGTCAAGACACTGATTCTAAGGAAAATCCTCCCACCCCCAACCCCCACTCCTCTCCCCACCCTACCAAAAGTGCCATCACCCTTTGAAATTTAGAGAAAGTCGTTCATTTAGTGATGCTGCCTTTATGGTGAGCTCTCTTACCTTACAATACTGACTCTTGGGGTTGGCTTGAGTGCCAGGAGCTATTGTGGAAGGACAGTTTTCCTTGCCTGTGGTGGCAGAAAGGAATAGAGGCCATCAGAACTTGAGAGAGAAGATGGGGAGAAGATTGGCTGAGAGTGGAAGAAGAGATAAGGACAGAAGCTGGCTTTGGCCCTGCCTCTTAGCATGTTGGGTGTTGGAAGAGGCCCAGCACTGACCCCTCTGCAGGTATTCCTGCAGAGCTGCAGCCAGACCTAACCTGTGACCATTTGCCACACTTCTCTAGATATTTTTATGTTTCATTTGACATTTTATTGAGTCATTGAGCCATGCAGATTTGTATTAGGATTAACAACCTTGTCCATCGTGGATTATGAATGGGAGTGTTGCTTGCCAGATTCCCCCTTTTTAAGGAACAAAACAAAATAAAACATGTGAATTGATCCCAAACTGCATTGTACATTGAAAAGTAAATATTTTAAAGGTGAACATAAGAAGGTCCCAAATGGATTGCACACACATTTTGGATTATTGGGTATATTTAAATTTTTTTCTGTTTTTGTCATTCTGAGACGTGAGTGTATAAATTCTGTGAACCAAAATAATTTGGACATTTTTTTCTTAAGTGGGTTATTTTTTTTCCCTGTCAGAGCAAGGTTTGCCACCAAATAAAGCTTTTGAAGCCTACAGTGTTTTACACAGCTAAATGTTTCTTATTTCAGCATATGTTTTTAGTCTCAAGTCAGCTGACTTTGCTGTGATGTCCTTATAGTAGTTCCACAGGATGAACTAGCGTTGAAACCTTTCTGATCCTCAGCCTCATTGAAAGAGGCACCGTTCTGGGCCCTAGTGTTGCATTTTGTCTTTCCGTGCACAGGCATATAAGGAGTTCAGGGATGTTATGTGTGTTGTTATTTGGGGCTTTGTTGGTGGAAAAATAGTTCCTTATTTTCGGTACTAAATTTGCATCTGCTTTCTTAACACCTGCCTCTCCCCTCCATTTTTATTTATATTTTTAAAAAAGTTAGGCAGAGAGCATCTGAAACTTATTGTCATGTTCTGCTGTTGGCCATAAATAAAGTTTACTTATACAGTTTTAGAAGCCATTATTCCTGTTTTGTTTTGTCTGTACTACCCCTGGTCTTGGGCATCTCTGGAGTAGTCTTTGGTACTGGTTCGATAGTTTCTTTTTTACATTGGAGCCTAATGGTGAGCTAAGTGCTGGCTGTTTAAAGATCAACTGCAGTGGTTTCTAAAACTTCACAAGTGATCTGCACTGTGCTCATCATAACATTCTCTCTCTGAAACACTTCTAAGAAGATATAGTTGATTGATCTTTTCAGGATCCCTTATGCTTGAGACTGGAGTGATCTTAACTAACAGTGCTCCTTACACGTGTTCAACTCACTAAAGCTTTACTCTGATGACAGTGGAATCTCTGTGCTTTTGTATAGCGAATGTTTCTTTGTGTAATCAAATTTTGTTGGCATAAAGATGATAAATTAAATTTTACAACTTGAAGGTCGTCTGTATGTCATTGTAAGTTTCCTTACCATTTTCTGGGATGGTGCTTGTGAGACTGAAGTCATGGGTTTGAGCCCCTGGGGCTTTTTACCTCATACTCTGTGCGCCCTGTTGCTGCAGACTGTACTCCTAGCCTTAGCCATTTGCAAAGGGGTCCAGTAAGGGCTTATGGGTAACTCATTGCCACCCATTACCATAAGTGGATACCAACTCCAAGCACTTTACTGACAGGGAAGCAACAGCCTTACTTTTGTTGATGAATGGCTGCCTTTGACAGCACATGCTCAGTAGTATATCCAAAACAGTTATGTGGCAATGTCTAAAGCTTAATAAATGTTGACTGACTGACTAGAGCAGCTGTCTTCCTATGCCTGTCTTGGTTTTTGAGGACAGTGAAGACTTGTACTTGGAATATAGTGGCTTTATCACAAAGCAGCGCTTACTGTCATCAGGTTACATAATTTATATGGTAGTGGTTCTTGGGCATGTTTAGTTTGTGGACTAGTGACGGAGCAAGTGTCCTCCCTCCCCCATCCCCCTTACAACCTTTTCTGTTTGCTTTGACAAAACAAGCTTAACAGAGCCACCAGAATTCATGGACGAATGAAGCTCTTTTCAGCATGAACCTCAGAACACGTCTACTGCATAAATGTTGTACTTACTTGAAGACTGTTGAGCTCCAGTGTATGTGAGGCATTGTATGAGACATGCTTCCTTCTAGCGAGGTACTTATGGCTATATAGAGGATTAAGAAGAGCACACAAATAATCATAAAACAAGGCAGCAGGAATAAGGCGTAGGTGTGGATGTGTTTTATTTCAGAAGAGACTAAAATCACTTGTAATCCAGGGAATCAGGAAAGTGTCAGGGAGGAGAGGGGCTGTTAGAACTAGGTATTTCAAGATAAATAGCTTTCTTGATAGGCAGAGATCGCAAGCAGGTTGGAGTGTCTGTGGCATGTGACACTTACATGCATGCATTTCAGAAATGCAAACATAGACATAAATCAACCTTTGAGTTCCCTACCATAGACCCCAGGATACAGGAGAGCATATTGTCTAAATCAGGAGTGGGGAACACACTTAGTTCTCTAGGTCCTCAAGTGCAGCCCTTTGACTGAATCCAAACTTCACAGAACAAATCCCCTTAAAAGGTTTTGTAAAAGAATTTGGCCTTCCTAACCAACCACACAGAGGGGAAATCCTTTTAACAGTTTTTACAAAGAAGTAAACAGATCCAGAGATGGAAAGTGATGTCCAAGCTTAAACAGCTAGTGACTTGCAAAGCTGGGGCTGAACCCAGGGTACCTGTTTATCTCTGTTCCTGGTCTCATGGTGCTCTTTGCAAATAATGCCCAGGAGTTAGCATCAAATGCCATCGCTCATTGGTACTGTTAAAGATAGGCTGATAGAGCAAGTAGTCGTGGCCTAGGAGTTCCTAATCGCATTCAACGGTGACAGGCAACTAGCTTTGCCAAACGATGCTGAAATTTAGAGCACATTGATTCTCTTTCCTCCTCACCATGGGGCAGTGTCTTCCCTTTCCCCTCCACCCCTGAAATCCCCGTATTCTCCCAGGATCCAAAATGACTATTTTTGGCTCTGCAGCTTTAGTATTGTTTGCTTCCTTTACAATTGAAGTTTCATGCGCATTTTGCCCCAATGTCCTCTTTTGTGTGAATCTGGCTTTTTCAGAGGAGTTAAGTGTGGTTTACGCTTGACTGCTTTTTTAAACTTGATCTGATTCCACATGAAGGGACAGACTTGCAGAGAACAGCCTCAGTCCAAGGAGGCTATTAACATTGGGAGTCTTGGCTTTCTTAACTTGTCATTTTAAAATACAACATTGCACTATTTATTTAAAAAAAAGTATCTGCTGCCATTAACTTTGGTACCAGATCCCCGCTTGTTCCCAAAGAATCAAGGGTCAGCCAACTGTTAGTAACTGTTGAATTTTTCAGCAGGCATTTTGAAATTACCATTAAAGCAGAGAGACGTTTGCTGAGAGCTTACGTTTTTAGTATCAAAATAAGAATATATCTTTTTGGTGTAGGGTTTTATAGCATCTATGGAAAGCATATTGGACAATGATTTGAGGCGTGGGTTCTAGTTTTAGTTCTATTAGCATCTGTGTGACCATGGGCAAATTGCTTAACCTCACTGAAACTCATCTGTAAAATGAAGGAATTGGACTATATGATCTTGGCATAGCAGAGACAGTACTGGACTTGGGATCTCATTCTAAATTTCCCTGCTGCCCTTAGCCCTGGGCAAGTCACTTAAGCTTTCTGGGCCTGAATAAATGTAAAATGAGGAAATAGGATTCAGTGGCCTCTAAGGTCCCTTTTGGCTATGATCCTCTGATCTTGAGTTTCCTTCCTGCTGTAACGTGTGATTCTATGTTGAGCATCTCTAAAGATAAAACAGGTCTCTGCCATCTATGAATTTACCATAAAAAATGTAGTATTTACTAGAACAGTTGTGTGTGTGAGTATGTGTGTGTGTGTGTGTGTGTGTGTGTGTGTGTACGTACTATCAACTGCTCCCTAAGGTGAATTGCTGAAATCACTTATACCAATGAGAATTTGGGATAAATCAGTGTAGGAAGGCTTCCTGGATGTACGTTTGACACAGGCTTTGAAAGAAAAAAAAAGGTAGGAACGTGGTTTGCTGACAAATAATACTTTATGATTTACAAAGTACCTTATATACCTTATAATACTTTATGATTTACAAAGTGCCTTATATACCTTATTTGATTTTCACAGAAACTCTGTCAAGTATCTGTCCCCCCATTTTATAATCAGTTAAATATTTCTTAATCACCTATGTGTCAGGTACTGAAAGAGTCCCTGCCTTCGAGGAACCTACATTCTAATGGCAGATACCATATTTTTGCCTTTCTTTGTATCCCTAATGTTAACAAAGTACTTGTGACGCAGTAGGTGCTTAATGTATGCTTGTTGACTGACAACTCATTGATATATATAAAGCAGATATACAGAAATTTGAAGGAGGTAGTACCAACAGCTTGGTAGACCAAGAAAAGCCTTATGCGCAAGGCGATGCTTGAGTGGAGTCTTGAAGGAGGCCAGGAATTACAAAGCCACAGAAATGTAGCATCATGTGTGAGGAACAGCAAGATGGTCATTATGTCTAGGGCATAGGAGGGGAGTGATGTCAGCTAATATAAGACCAACTTGTAAAGAGCTTTTTCTTTTTTAAGAAAAAAATTTAATAATTATATTTTTTTCCTCAATTACATGAAAAGGCAATTATTAACATTCATTTTTTTAAAATGTGTGTTCCAAATTCTCTCCTTTCCTCCCCTCCTCCTGCCAAGATGGTAAGCAGTTTGATATAGTTTATACATTGTATAATCATATAAAACATTTCCATATTAGCCTTGTTGTGACAGAAGACACAGACCAAAAGAAAAAAATAAAGTGAAAAATAGAATGCTTCGATCTGCATTCAGACTCCATCAGTTCTTTCTCTGGAGGTAGATAGCATTTTCCACCATGTGTCCTTTGGGAGCTGTGGTAGATCATTGAATTGCTGAGAATAGCTAAGTCGTTCACAATTGATGATTGTACAATTTGCCATTACTGTCTCCAATATTCTCCTGGTTCTGCTCAAGCCATTTTGCATCAATTCATGTCTATACTTCTGTTCCTTCTCTAAGTGATTTTCATCATATTAAAGACAATGACTTTCCCCTTATTCCTCTGCTTCAATGAATAACTTCACTTAGTATATGCAGCTGGTGTTTCTAGTGACCATCCCTACCTGTGCTTCAGGGTATTTATCTTCCATAATAAATCCTGGACCCTCTCCTTTCCTGCATTTTCTTGGCGATCTCCTCCAATGGGTTGTTATATCTATGCAGATAAGTACTGTATACATTTAACCATGTCTCTCTCCTGAGCTACCTGCTTGCCAATACCTGGATGTATTAGCAACTCAGAACTCAATATGTTTAAAATGTAATCATCTCTCCTAAACCTACCTCTCTTCCTTCTTTCTATTAATAGCACCACTATTCTAGTAACTTGGGTTTCCAACCTATGGATCATTCTGGATTCTTTCTTTAATTCCCCATATCCAAATCAGTTGCTGAGTCTTATCAATTTCTACTTCTACGTTTCTCATGTTCAACTTCTCCTTTCCAT